AAAACACAACATTTTCACCAACACAAGCCATCCTAGGGATCTTTTGCATTACAAAAGCATCTTATGTAATTTGAAACACAACTGGACACAATTAGTAGTACAGAACAAATGAGCACTGAAAGAAAATACTATCCTCATACTTTTAATACGGAATCGATTACTTTAAAAAGCAAATCCACAGCAGACAAAGCATTGGAGAAACCGTTCTAAAGAAAATCTGCAAATTAAAACCAGGGCATCAGAAAGTTCTTGCTTGAACTAACAAATGATGCTCTTCTTAATTCAAGTCTGCACAAATATGGGCTACAGGAGGCATTTAAATTGATTTAACAAAATCTGCCCTGTTAATACTGTGCTCATTTAAGGCATGGCTTGAGCTTCTGTAAAGTCATTTTTCAAATTTCAACATGGACAGAATTAGCACCCTCATTTTTATGATAATATTGCTAATTTAATGCATGGCTTGAAGTTAGACTTCAAAGTGAATCAGAAAAATATGCCTTTTCTCTTGTCAGAGACATCTCTCTTCACGCACCAGTGGTTTGACCTTAAAATTTTAACTTCAACTGCACAAAATTACTCTCATATTTCAACTATTCTTTCATAATTCAATCAGTTAGTTTGTCCATTTTAGATAGATCTTGCAATACCTTGCCCATGAAAGCTAAAACAAGTTTTAACATTATCTTTTTATGTTTATACTCTGGTTAGATCAAGATCAGAAACTTTTCAGTATAATATTAAACATGCAGTTCACAATGAACTTAATAAAACATGCAAAACCAAAAGACGAACTTAAGTGGCCAAGGGAAGTCTTTCCCACTATTTAAATCTCTTTCCTCCGTCCTCCATTATGGCACTGAAAAATCAAGTGGCAATGATGAATTAGATTTGCACAAACAAAAACCTACAGTACACGAGGGCTTCCAGCACTGAAAATATTGTATTCTTTACTTTTCCTCTAAAACACTGAGCTATCTCCACAAATGTCTACCTGGCAAGCAAAGGAAGGCTGACGATGTAATGGAGGGTGAAATGATAATGTCCTCTTTCGTAAATGGAATCCAGCCGACGATAACAATACACTCACACAGATTTGCAGGGCATTCTGGATGGCGTTTCAAATACCTCATCCCCCTGCACTTTAAGAACCTGCAGTCAGGTCGCCCTTTACACAGGAGACAAGTGACCATTTTAAACAGACTGAGGGAAAACCTACACCATACTACTACAGCAATTATGTCAGGGCAGAAACAGGAGGAGGTGATGGAGGAAGAAAAAGAAAAAGAATTCAACAAGGCAAAATTCGCAGAACACACTTAGGATTGGGAGAGACAATTCAAGGGAATGCAAATGAAAATTTGCCAGCTATGAATCTCCTATTAATTAGAAGCCTCGAACTGTTGGTAAGTGTGTAAACATTATGCCCTGCTTGGTAGACATTCTGGTAGGTGCCTGTATGTATACCCTTTGGTGCAGGAATTTCACTTCTAGGTTTTATTCAATAGAAGCACACCCAACCTTGCAAAAATATATGCATTCCATTCAGCGCATTGCATGCGCTGCCCTCACTGTAGCACTTCTGAGTAAAAAATGTGATGGAATGCTCTGTTATTCAAATACATTTGATTGAAATAAGCGTTGCTAAATATTCTTTAAAATATGAATCTATTTTTGTGAAAAGACAGTGTGCTCATATACACAGAAACATTTAGGATATGTGCCAAATGAAAGAGAAATGAGAACATTACTGAATTGTTTAAAATTTTTACATATGTTGCCTGCATTAAAAAGCAACGAATCTATAAATATTACTGTTAATTAATGGTTCTTTTATGACCTTGGCCTTCTAATATAAACTCACTAACATATCTGATACATTCTCTTATCCATTAGAGGAACAAAGTTCATGATTTCACTATAAAGGCTTCAAATAAAGAAGTTCAGAGTGCCTTTCTGGTTGTTGAAATAATTATGTAAATAGTGTTGAAGCTGATTATTTATGTTGAAAATTAACAAACAGATGTACAGTGAGGGTTAATGGGATCTTTAATGGGTTTCTTTATATAAAGGGACAATTTGGGGCAAAAATTTTTTTTCTTAACTGTTCTATAATAACTGGCATGTCTACTTTTAATTATCTTAATCACCCTCTCTTCTTTATTGAGTTGACCCTGTTTGTATATCTTAATGAACTTACATAGATTATTTCAATCGATTGGTTTTGTTAACAGAACAATAAATCCTGACTGATAAAGAATGCAGGATGTAATTAGTTAGCTCTTCTTATTATGTGAATTTCTGATTCTTCTGTAATGAGTAATTAAAGATTAATAAGAAAGATAGTCTCAAATTAGCTGCTTCTTATCTGTAAATGCTTCAGGATGTGTGGGGATCAAGCCACATTTGCATTCTCACCACTAGGCTGGCAACTATAGTAACTTGGCAGCAAACCCAAAGTTCTAACTATCTGAAAGTTGTCTTCCAAAGAACTATGCCTCGAGGCCACATAATTTCATGATAAGATGGCTGAGTGGATCAACTACATCCTCTTCACTTCTGCTCAGAAAACAGTGCAAGGTGAAGCCGGACCATGTCTGAGTCTTTACCATGCCACCTTTTCTGGCTGTGTAACTCAATGCGGCTTCATGCCTCTGTCTCCATGCTACATGGCACAGGGCTGGGGTGAGGGTTCAATGAGATAATCCACACAGGACACTTAGCAACTGACTTGTACACAGTGAGCACTCTATGGGAGGCAGTTGTGGTGATTATTCATTCAACAAATATTTAAACTCCTGCTATTTGCCAAGCACTGCCTAGGTGCTGGGGATACACGCATGAATGAACAAGACTAACCCCTGCTCCCAAGGAATTTAGTGTTCTCTTTCTTTTCCCTTTTGTCTTTAGGATTTCTTAAAATCAGAACCTTTTGTTCTGAGAGTCTGATCAGAAGAGGCCTGTATAGACAGGTTACTAGTTCAGGCAATCCCCTCGGCCATCTTCATGTCACTTAGAGGCCCAGGCCCTCTGCCTGGAGAACACAAGTGGGTGTCATGCCCATGCAGAAGGCAGCCCAGTCATAAGGCTCCATTGACAATATACTCTCCTCAGGGGTTCAGGGGAGCCATGCACACCACAGTAAGCATTCTCAGAGCACCCTCTTCTTTTGTATCCCACCACTGGCTGAGAAGCCCTGTGCACCAGCTTGACTCTGGTGCATCAACTCAGATGATCCCAGCAGCAACCCTGTGGGCAAGGTGAGTACACCCACTTCACAGTTGAGAGGGCTGATGTCCAGACTAAAGTAATTAGCCCCAAGACACACAGCATATGTGTGTGAATGCGATTCAAAACAGCCCAACTCCAAAACCCAGGCTCTGCCCCCGTCACCATGCTGCCTCCACTGCCCATAGCAACTACTCCACCTCCCAAATAGATGCAATGTGTGTTATTTTCATGCAAAAGAACAAGTGTCCGCCACACACACGCACTTGGCTAAGTGCTCAAGGACTCAGAAATCAGGCTCACTGTGATGAGCCTTTGGAAAGAGAGCAGGAGGAACGTAAGGGGCATGATGAAAATCATACCAAATAATCAGTGGGAAGAAGAAAAAGAACTGGAGAATGTAAACTAAAAATAAAATTCTAAGACCACCACCCACCCATGTGAATGGACTTCCTCCTCTACATGGGAGACAGGGGCTCTTTTAAAATTTAATCTGAGAGACTGTTTCAGGCCATGATGGGAAACAGGGGGCGAACATGCCTCCTTACACCTCTCTGGCATGAACATCAATACGGACTTTAAGTCCAATAAGAAACATTTTACAACCTATTCTCTCCGAAGCCTAGGACATGAAGGCTTCCTCTGCAAATAAGAACTTGGGCATCCACTTGGGCATCCATAAATAAGAACTTTATCTTAACCCAGACATTCCTTTCTATTCACCTCAGCTCTTTACAGAAACTCAACCAATTGTCAACCAGAAAATTTTAAAATCTGCCTATAAGCTGGAAGCCCCTGCTTTGAGTTGTCCTGCCTTTCTGGACCAAACCAATGTATTTCTTAAATGTATTCGACTGAAGGCTCATGTCTCCCTAAATTGTAGAAAACCAAGCTGCACCGGTGAACCAAGCTGAACAGGTGCCCAACCACCTTGGGCGCGTGTTAGGACCTCCTGAGGGCTGTGTCAATAGGCCATGGTCACTCATATTTGGCTCAGAATAAACCTCTTCAAATATTTTGCAGAGTTTGACTCTTTTCATTGACAAGATAGAGACCTGAATAAGTGGTCATTTCCAGGCTACACGACTGCCCTGTCTCAGGCTTGGTTCCCTCATCTGCCACTTGTCAGCTTTGTGACCTCGACAAGTTACTGACACTCTTCCAATCTCAGCACCTTCATTTAAGAATGTGCCCAAACCACCCCCTACCTCCTAGAGTTGCTGTGAAAAACCAAGATAATAAAAATATGAAGAGTAAGGCATTTATTAAAAGCAGGCATTTAATAAATGCTGCCTTTTTTTCCAGAAGTTGAAATAAAGTGTTCTATGAGCCATAAACCACTCTCCATATTTTAGTTGCTTCATTGCCATTATTATTATTATTATTATTATTAATTATTATCATCATCAATATCATCAGGCTAACCTAGCTGGAAGTTAATTTCCATGTGAGAAATTCTAGTGGTTTGGTGAAAATCTTGCTAAGTCTGTTTTCCAAGAATCTGAAAATGTCAGCTCCCCAGGAATACATCTGGTGTGCCATTCTCTCAGATGGTGTGGCTATGTGGTAGGTTAAGACAGGCAACGTGTTCAACTGCATTTCCCAAAGCCCTTCCACTGTCCATGACTCTGTGAACTTTCATGAGACTAAACAGGTCTCACATTCTGGCATCTAGGTGCTCTGGATCTAACAGTCAGAGCAATGTTAACCAGTCACTGCCAAAAGATCAAATGAACCCAAGTGCAAAGAAGGCACAAAACAGCTGCACTCACAGCAATTATGTTGAAGAAGTCATCATCCCCAAGTGTATCCAAAATGGATGAGACTGTTTGCTTCGCGATAGTCAGGCGGAGTCCTTTCATGCTGCCACTGACGTCAACTAAAATGACCACGTCTTTCGGAGAAGTTGCTGCCTGGATGTACCTAGGTCAAGGGAAAAATTAAGTAAAAATGAATCCTGACTTCTCTTCAAGGTATCTCTTTGAGAAATAACGAAGAGGTCTGACCACTGCCTACCATTTTCGGTTCCTGCAGTCAAAGGCAATGACTCCATTCTCATCTGGTTCCCATTTAATCCCTAGAAGAAAAATGGGGTTATGAGAAACCCAGAAACTTCAAATATTTATTCATAGCATTTCAAGGCTGCTCTACTTTGCTGATTGAATGGACAGGGTGAAAAATCACATGCAAAGACCAACTCCGGGGCTCATCACATGCTCCATCGCCAAATCCAGGCAGGAGCTTTCGGGTCATAACCCTATAGCAAACACAGCGCTAGCTCAGCTGCTCCAAAGGCCTGCAGAGAGTGGAGATGTTTTTAGGACTGTGCTGTCCATCCAGAGAGTATGCGACTCCAGCTCCTTCCCTTGGCTAGGGATCAAGGTAGCAAAGGTCATTTCTTACTGTCCAGAAAGTTGTTGGACCTGGGGGGATCATCCATAGATCTCTGGGCAGAGTCTGGCCCCATCCCTGGACCAGGTGATGTAATGTCTATAGCAGGGGGGTTGAAAGCATAGATACAATGTTTCCAACTAAGGATATACACAGGTCTGTTGCATCCTCACTCCTGTTTTTAAAATCAGAAATTTTGGCCTGGCTTTCCACACTGAAATGAAATAAAATGGCTCTCATTATGCTGCATAATAAAGTTTGAATTTCAGCTCCTGAAGCCTGGGGAGTTTTCCCCATGTGTAAAACCAGATCCAACATCCTTAGTCTTGTGGTTTGCAGCCTAGTCAGGATATATCCCACTTAGCTTTTAAGAATAAAATATCATTTGAAAAGAAAGGCATTGGCTGCTTAAAAATAAGACAGAAAATCACTGTTTTCAACCACCAGTTCTGCTCAGGGATGGAGGATTTGCAACAGAGACTTTGGAGATAGGAAAATAAAAACAGAGATATCATTTTCACAGGAGAGAATCCTGACTCAGCTGGTGGCATTAAGATTCTTTTTTCCGATTAACAATGGCCAGCTTTCTAAAGGACCACACTGGGCTAATAATAGGCATCTGCTGAAGATAACATCCCCAAATTATCACACAGATAACCTTGAGACAGTAGTCTGTAATCCAAAGAGATATTGGGTTCTGTCCTTCTTGTACCTACATTTCCCATTGCACATGTGTCTAATTTAAAAACACTCCCCATAAGAAATCAGAAAACAGAAGTGTAAGAAGCTACTGCCAAATTGGAGGTCATTAGGTAATAAAGATAAAATGCAACTAACATGATGTTGTACACTAAGGGACATGAATGCAATTAATTAAAAAAAAATCTGACACCTGCTTTGTATAAAACCAGGTACCATTAGGATGGCACAGTCTTGATAAACAGTGAAGTTATATCCCTGGTGAGGCTAGGCAATGCTCCAATTTATAATTCCACAAATAACTGGTTTGAATGTGATATAAAGAGAAATTTTTATTTTTTGTTTTTTAAATGTGTTGACCCATGGGAGGTGTTCAGTGGATGTTTCTTGAACTGAACTGCGAAGAGTGACCTTAGACCACGGTCATCCCTGCCGATACTCTGATCGTCCACCAACATTTTCCGGCTCTGGCATCCTTCCCCAGATTACAGCCCTATCACTGTGTGCTCCACGGGGAGCAGAAAGTATTTTATCATCTTTGACTGCCCCAACACTTAGGCTGAAACCATTTCCTTGCATATGGGCTTGTTTCTCATTCCAGGCACGCTGAAGCTTGGTGCTTCCCCCTGCCCCCAGGATGGAGTTTCACTCTGTTGGCTGGAGGGCAGTGGTGTGATCTTGACTCACTGCATCCTCAGCCTCACCAGTTCAAGTGACTCTCCTGCCTTAGCCTCCTGAGTAGCTGCGATTACAGGCACCCATCACCACACTTGGCTATTTTTAATTTTTTTTATTTTTAGTAGAGATGGGGTTTCACCATGTTGCCCAGGCTGATCTCAAACTTTTGGGCTCACCTCAGCCTCTCAAAGTGCTAAAATTACAGGCGCAAGCCACCACGCTCAGCCACTCGGTGCTTTTTGAAAAGCTGACATGAAATTAGTCTACTGGGAAAACCAACAAAGAATACAATTCCAGTATGAAAGTGGATCGGACGGGACAACCTCAGAGCATCTTGTCTACTAATCACAATTTTCATCCAACTGGCAAGCCCTCTGCCAGTCAGTGGACATACAGCAGTGATGGAGAAAGAGGGACTTGGCTCCTGCCTGCCCTCAGGAAGCCTCATAGCTAGTAAGGAAGCAGACACTGGATGAGAAGTCGCAGGTATTGGAGATGTCATAGAGGAGAAATACCTGATGCATGTTAGTAGATAAAGGCGACCCTAATCCCTAACGTCAGAAAGACATCTTCAAGCTGAGAGTGAGAATGATGATGCACTGCTGTAACAAATTACCTTTGTCCCTTGGTGGCCATGGGGCATTTGCTCCAGAACCCCCACCCTTGGTCTGTGGATGCTCATGTCCCTGATACAAAGTGGTATAATATTTGCATATAACCTATGTGCATCTTCCCATATACTTTAAATCATCTCTAGATTTCTTACAACACCTAACACACATCAACAGTTGTTATACTGTATTGCTTTTATTTGTATTATTTTTTATTGTTGTAATTTTTTTCTTGAATATTTTCCATTCATGGTTGATTGAATCCATAGACGCAGAATCCACGGGTATGGAAGACCAAATGAACTACAAAGTAAGTGGCAGAATAGAAAGATATTCTCTCATAGTTTTGGAGGCTAGAAGTTCAAACTCAAGGTGTCAGCAGAGCCAAGCTCCATCTAAAAGTTCTAAGGGACACTCTTTGCTAGCCTCTTCCTAGCTTCTGGTAGCTCCCGGTAATGCCTGGTGTTTGTCAATTTAGAGCTGTGTCATTCCAACCTCTGCCTCCATCTTCCCATGGCTGCCTTCCCTCTGTGTCTGTGTATCCTCTCTTTCTTATATAAGGGCATCCATCCTATTAGATTTAGGGTCACCCTAAACCAGTATAAGAACCTCATCTCAACTTACCTACTTACATCTGCAAAGGCCCTATAGCCAAGTAAGGTCACATTCTCAGGCTCCTGGTGGACATGAATTTTGAGAGGACACTATTGAACCCACTATATATGGGTAGGATTTGTTAAACAAAAGCAGGGGTTAAACAAAAGCAGGTGACAAGGTAGAGAAGAACATCCCAGGCAGAGAGAACAATGTGTGCAAAGGCCCTGAGGCTGAGAAGACATGTCCTGTTCAAGGAATTGAAGGAAGATTGGTTTGGCCATGTGTAGGGGACGTCCCCGCCAGAGGCAAGGAGCCTGGGTGGCAGCAGGAACGGTGAGTTCTGCGCCCTTTGTGCCCAGGATATGAGATACACATTGGGCAGGGATGAAGACAGTACCTCAAGGCAGTTCCAGGCATAGCTGCCCTACAGGTAACAATGAACATCATACTTTGACTCAGAGTTAGGGCTGAATGAGTCTGTGGCAGGGGAGCGGGGTGTCATTTTGCCCAAATCCGACATTTGGGCCAAAATCTTCAGATTTTCCTGAGATGTCCTGTTAGGACTAACATGGGCTCTCCCAATTCTCAAGCCATCGTTCTCTTCCTTGCAAAAGCATTTCCATAGTGTGTTTTGTGAGGAGTTCTACAGGATGCTAACAAGCGTTCAGTGAATCAAAGTAAAACTGGTTTCTACATGATGTAAGGAACAGCTAAGGGCCTTTAACCTGCTCAAGTGCATCTTGAATGTCTATGACAGAGACCCCAGTAGTAGCATTTACCAAGATGATTTAACCATGGAGTCCTTCCTCCTCCAAAAATCTCACAGGAAAATGTTTTTAAAAATGAACTTGAGAAAACCCTGCCCCAGGCGGCACTGTCTCCCCTAGGATGTATCACCTTTTTAGTATGTCATTGTTGGTCCACACAGATATTTTGAAAATATTCAGGTAACTTCTAAACTCAGAGGAATAACAGTTGGCTCATCTTAAATCTGTGAGATCCAAGGAATTATCACTTAAGCAAGAAGCACCCCCACGAGCCACATCATTTCGCGAAGTGCCAGTATGCCTTTTGGAATCCCGCTCAGGTAGGATGGGGTGTGAAACCCGAGACAAGAGGAATGCTACAGTTCGGCGGCAGAGGAGACTGCCACTCCGCCTGCTCCAGAAGGGCTTTCTCAGCTTCATCGTCAGCATCAGTGATTGCCAGCCAGTCTTCCTCAGCTTTCAGAGGACAAGGTCCTCAGCATGTACACAAATCCCTATGTGAAACTGAAAATAATGTCAAAATCTCTGCTACAGATTCAAACGCTCAAATTTGAGTGAATTTGAATCATTGTGCAACACTGCTATATCCCACGGTTTCTCTCCCACAGGCATTACAAACTAACATTGGAGGAAAATTCATTTCATTTAAGACAACCTATGACTTCCTGTTCTCTTTTAGCTTGTGAAAATAAACAGTAGGGCCAAGACAACAGAGACTAATACAAGACTGAAGGTCAAGCCGCATGTTCCCAACATAATTCTGTGTGGCAGTGAGGTTTGAGACTGTGTAATGGAACTATTAAGGGCTACAACAAATAGCACAATAAAAATCTGAATATCTTTTTGCCCTGTCATTTTATTTCTGCTCCATGTTCTCCTTTTCTCTCCACTTCAAGAAAAGGCATCTTCATCCATTGCTTCCCTTGTCTTTAAAGCACAGTGTTTTCCATAAAACATCAGTGGCACTGCCAACGACATTCAAACCATCTCCAGCCGGGTGTGGTGACTCACACCTGTAATCCCAGCACTTTGGGAGGCTGACGTGGGTGGATCATGAGGTGAGGAGTTCAAGACTAGCCTGGCCAAGATGGTGAAGTCCCATCTCTACTAAAAATCACAAAAATTAGCCAGGTGTGCTGGCAGGCGCCTGTAATCCCAGCTACTTGGCAGGCTGAGGCAGGAGAATTGCTTGAACTTGGGCAGCAGAGGTTGCAGTGAGCCAAGATTGTGCCACTGCACTCCAGCCTGGGTGACAGAGTAAGACTCCTTCTCGAAAAAACAAAAAAACAAAAACAAACAAACAAACAAAAAAACTATCTCCACCTGAACAGATACTGCCTATCTTACTGAAACATGGCATTTGTCTTCCCTATTTGAAAGCAAAAAATCCAGAAAGATGTGGAAAGAAGGAAAATCAAGAGGTGGAAGATATTGGTTTATCCCGAAGTTCTGCCCAATTCCTTCCTCAAAAAAATATTTAGCACTTGGCCCATAATTTAAAGTTGAAACACATACCTTCCAGTTAACTTTAGATCTAAAATATCTGGTCAAAAATACATGCTGGCTTCTAATGTGAGTCAAGCTGCAGTCGAATTTGGCTTTAAAATGTCTTCTGAGAAGCTGCCTATGCATTTCTCTAAAAAGAGCTCCTTTATTCAACCAGATGCCGTGTCTCTTGAGAGATTACGCACCATAAAAATGAGGAAGTAGCAAGACAATTACTATGAAAATTGTAAATTATGGTACTCTATGATCATCTTTATTGGGGCAGTCCTGTTGAGCTAGCCAAGGAAGAGAACCCTAATATCAATCACACTCTCCCCATTGCTAAACCTGAGCCTGGTGAGGAAGGCATCCAAGGGAAGAAACAAAAAGTAATGCTGTGCACAGAACCTAAACTTGATACTAGCAAACAGCATGGATGAGTCCAAACTTAAGGAGAGCTCTTTACTTAGCTGTCCAGCTCCCTCATCGTGGCTGTAGCTATGAACCAGCTTTCACCTTCCTATGGCAGCCAAATCATGGTGCGAAGATAAGACAATCACTGCCCTTTGTAATTACCAAGCCTTCTACAGGAATAAACTGCCCTGTGTATGGCTATAGAAAGGTGACAGTCTGATGTTGGGGAAGGGACTGGGGCTTCTTATAATCATGCATTAACCTAATTGATGTCCTGTGTTTGATTAGACAGTGACCTGTCTGTGATGTATAGACACAGTTTTCTTTATGTAGGTAAGAGTACATGGGTAGGTACTGTCAGCCAGCCATATCATTTTAAATAAAGCCAAGAACTGGCCAGAACAGGAAGAATAGATCAGTTACTGGTGGCCTCAGCCAATAACCAGGTAGAAAACGGGTCCCACAGAGGGCTGAAAAAGATGAACTGGTCAAGGCTCACAGGAAAAGGGATGACTGTACAGCCCTTTGATTCTCTGCCTCCTGGGAGATGGGGAGCCTGGAGAACACTACTTACTGGATGAGATGGTCATAAAGCTTCAGGAGGAAATAGCCAACAGATGGGCATGTCCAGTGTCCAGGACATGGTGGTAGTGGGGTGGAAAGGGCAGGTACTAGGAAGACTTGGAGGAGAGGGATCAATGAGAACATAAAGGGACTATGGCTCTGTACCGCATTTATGCCAGTTCCTTGCTGAGTCATCAAGTCTCTACCAGACTGCAGCTGGGGACCAGCTCCCCAAAGAGGCAATAGCTCTATTCTGTCTGAAAAGACAGGGCAGCTGCCACTGGTGTGATGGGAGACAACAGATCTGGTGGAGTTTGATCTAACAGGTGATTCATTCATTCAACAAACACATATTGAGCACCCACTATGTGTTATTCTTGCTGCTGGTGACAGAGTAATGGACAAAACAAATGACTCTGTCCTCTTAGGGGCAAATATTCTAGTAGAGGAGATAGGGATTGAAAGCCTGATGGTTCAAGATTTCAGGGTAGAGTTCCCATTTTATAAAGAAGAACTATAGAGCCTAACGAAGTCCTGTTCAGTAAGACCTTTTTGTAATATAAGCCTTGAGAGTTAAGGCTGGTCCCTTGGAAACTGGGTATCAGACTCAAAAGTCTCTTCCTACAGCATTATGTTATTCGACATGGTGACTACCAACCATGTGTGGCTATTTAATTATTTTATTTTTAAATAACATTTAAATTTCAGTTCCTCAGCCTCACTAGGCACACTTCAAGTGCTCACTACCCCTGTGTGGCCAGTGACATTAGTGATATTAGATAGGATATAGAACATTTCCACCACCTCATAAAGTCCTTTTGAGAGACACAAGAGTTACCACATGCCCTTAGGACATACATTGAATTGGTGAAGGCCTATGTGTGAAGCCATGCAGAAATGGACATCATCACCACACCAAGGCCTTCAGGCTAATGCTTATCAAAATTCTCCTTCTCAGGACTTTCCTCTCATCCCAGGAGTTGGAGTTGGTGATCCTTCTCAGTGATCACCCAGCCTCTTCTATTTCCCTTAGCTTAGCATGAAACACACTGTACCATGATGATCTGTTTGCCTGTCTACCTTCCTGTGGTGGTCACTGATGCCCCCTTCTTTGGGGACTCCAGTCTAGGCAAAGCCACAATAATCCTGACTAGTCCCCAGGGTTTTAGATGGCTGACCTTACCCACCGGTCTTCAGGCATCAGTGGTGGGTGGGCATGCGACTCAGAGCAGGCTAATTCTTGGACTTTCATCCAAGCTTCTGGGGCAGATGCCCTCTGCTCCCCTGGAACACCCACTGAGAAATCCTGCCAGGCCTGTTCCCCATTATGAGGAGATCACCTGCCAGTGAGACAAGGTTAGAATGGAAGAAGACAGAAATGAGAGCTGAAAGGAAGGATTCAAATTCTAAATGACTTTGCTCCAGTCTCTCATTGCTGAGTACTGAAATCCAGCTGTCGCCCAAATGGCACACTCCCTAGATTTCAAATTACATGAGCCAGTAAGTGTGCTTCTTGCTGGAGGTAGCTGGAATTGTGTTTCTGTCACTTGCAACCAAAATCCACGACAAACGCATGTCCCCACAAGAGGGAACTGGATGAGGGCAGAGACCTCTTCTGTCTAGTTCATGATTTTATCCTCAGGGCTTCATACAGGGTTTGGTACAAAGCCAGAACTCAGTAAGACTGAAGAAAGACTCCCTCTGCTTAAGAACAGGCACACTTACCACTGACTCACACCACTCTAACAATGGAAAGAAGCATCCTGAAAAGAAAAACATCCGGGCAAAATGCTCATGATCACTCTTTGAATCATATGTCCAGGAGGCAAGAGGCATGCTCTGTGTTTAGAACCAAGCACAGAGTTGAGTGGCCACATGACTTTTATCAAGGCATTGAAACACCTTGGTAGACTACGGCCCATGTCTTCACTAACATAGAAATTATGCAGGCATTTTACAGAGCCACATCCTGCCCAAAATGTCCTAAAAGAACAGTAAGCATGGCTGAACCAATTGTTCTGACTGATAAAAACCTTGTATGTAAATTAATCTCCCCTATTACACAAACCTTTTATGAAGATTTCCTTTATTTTCAAACGTCCTAGTAACCATAGATTAAAGACTCCCTGTTGACGGAGACAACAGGTGATTTGTGGTTTCTACTTATCTGTCTTGGCCTCTTCACAATGCCACATAGTGAGAGGGGTGGACACCCAGGGGCTTCCCAAGCAGAGCAACCTCTCTGCCAGGCTCTGATTTCAGCAATATCTGCATCAGATTTGCTCTCTGTTGAGTGTATCAAGGCAGATTGCAATTTGGTGGCACTGGAACTTTAATCGCCCACTGTTTATTATGGCGTTATCTTTAATAGGATGCTTATTGTTTACATTTCTGTGAGCTCTGGGAGGAAGCACACGTGCTATGCTGAACATGACTCTTGGGAAATGTTCTGTAATCCGGTGAAGCAGAGACCCAGCAGGCAATTCTCGGGGGACAGATGCTGTGCACGGGGCAAACAACTCCACAAGGCGGAGGCCGGCAGTCTCTGTGCCTCAAAGTGGGAAGCCATCAGGTGCCTAGTCTTACTTAATGAAAACATAAAAGGCTTCACTTAATTGCTCCAAGATTATGCAGGGTGGTTTTTTTCCCCTTTCTTTTAGGTTGAGCTTGTTAATTTCTGCAGCTGTGATGTTGGCACAATTGCAGCCCCGAGTCCTGTTTTCACAACTTGTAAGCAAAATTAAAACTTCCCTTTTTAATTAGAATTCAAACCAAGCCAGAATTAAAATCCTATCACAAAGCAGAGGCCTGAGAAGGCTCCAGAAGGAACACCTGTTCCAAAGGCATGAGGGACAGCCTCTGAGATACGCACCACTGGGGGTGCCTGGGGTGCTGGGGCTGCTGTGGGCGCCCTCTGCGGAGGGTTGTTGCCGTCAGCGATGCGTGGGCCATTTCAACATCTTCCCGCAAGGGGAGTCGGCTCTGGGGTGGACAAATCCCGTTCAAATTCTCTATTTCTTATGCCTGTTAGTGAGAATTCAATTGCCCAAGTATGAATTGCTCTTTTCCCCAATAATAATAATTACAGCAGTAATAGCAGGTATTAGTAATAAGGCCAAACTCTTGTTCAGAAGTATTAAATAAGGTACATTTCACACCACAGTTCTTCACATGTGGTGACAGCTCTGTGAATTATTCTACTGAGAAAGGTACAGATCCAGAGAGTTCTGTGATCACGTCCTATGTGTGTGCATGCCCATGTGGATGCCACCTTGCCACTCCTGTCCTGCACCCTGACAACAGGTTTGCACTTCATCTTTCATTTTCTTCTAAGAGAAGGCAGAAAAGTTTTAACCTCAAACCCTAAAGAAAAATATCTCATTACCAGTTATCATTAATCTGAGTCATAATTGTCAATGCAGGGATACTCACCCGGATACTGCCTAAAAAAGCCCTTTGCACTTCCGAAGTACTGCCATATGAGAGACGGGTCACGGTCAAAGTTATCTACAAAAACTTTGTTTAGGGATTCAGACCAATAAACCCCATTGACAATTGCAGGGTCTGTAAAAAAGAAAGAGAAAGAGAGGGGTGTATTAGAAAACAAAGTGAAATAAAATTCCTTTTATTTCCCACACTGCTTGGCAGATATTGGCACGAGGTACTCCATCTTGCAGGAGGCTATGAAGAAAGTTATAGCCTCAAAAACATTTAGCTCCCGGGGATTCCAGATGCTGGGGATTCCCCTCCTGCCTGAGCCCTCCTAGTCTCCCAGGAGCCTCTAACTATGATTCCTTACTTAAAAGACACTTCCTTTTATTTGTACCTTTCAATGTCACATATCCCATAGAGAAAATCACATAATCCTCTTTAAGAAAGCAGAGAGAGACCTTATTAGCATTATTTTCCTGCTTTTCCCCCTACTGAGCCAGAACTCGGTATTAAAAATAGGGAAACTGTATTTTCTCTCACGGTAATCACCTCAGCCACCAACATAGCCCTATTCTATTTCTCTTTGCCCTGACTTAGAAGTTTGCTTTTTTTAAAAAAATAAATAAATTGAAATTACATAACTAAATCTCTCTAATTCTGCTATTCAGCAGAATGTGAGCTCTGTGAAAGCACAGACTACCTCTTGTGGTCTTTTGCTGTACCCTTTGACCAGCACATGGCAGAAGCTCCAAAACTCTTGTAGAGGAATAGAGGGAAGGATGGATGGATGGTGATATGATTTGGCTATGTCCCCACCCAAATCTCATCTTAAATTGTAGCTCCCATAATTCCTGGCGGGAGATAATTGAATCATTAGGGTGAGGCAGGTCTTTCTTGTGCTGTTCTCAGGATAGTGAATAAGTCTCACAAGATCTGAGACTTTTTTTGAAGGAATTTTATAAAGAGGTACTCCCCTGCATATGCTCTCTTGCCTGTTGCCATGTAAGATGTGCCTTTGCTCCTCCTTTGCCTTCTGCCATGATTGTGAGGCCTCCCCAACGATGTGGAACTGTGAGTCAATTAAACCTCTTTCCTTTATAAATTATCAAGTCTTAGGTACGTCTTTATTACCAGCATGGGAACAGGCTAATACAGAAGGACAACACAAAGACTGTTCTCCAGATACCAGGCAATCATTTACTCTTTTGCCATGGAATCCCATGAGCAAATCTCTTTTCCTCACCTACAGTAGCCCAAAGATAACTCCTTGCCTTCAGTTCAGAGATTTTAAAAAATAACCGTGAATTCCTATTCAACACAATATTGGAAGTCCTGGTCAGGGCAATCAGGCAAGAGAAAGGAATAAAGGGCATTCGAATAGGAATAAAGGAAGTCAAATTATCCCTGTTTACAGAAGACATGATCCTATACCTAGAAAACCCCACAGTCCCAGCCCAAAAGCTTCTTAAGCTCATAAACAACTTCAGCAAAGTCTCAGTATACAAAATCAATGTGCAAAATATCACTAGTATTCCTATACACCAACAACAGTGAAGCTGAAAGCCAAATCATGAATGAATTCCCATTCACAATTGCCACAAAAAGAAAAAAGTACCTAGAAATATAGCTAACTAGGGAGGTGAAAGATCTCTATAAAGAGAACTTCAAACCACTGCTCCAAGCAATCAGAGATGACAGAAACAAATGGAATATGTTGCATGCTCATGGATAAGAAGAATCAATATTGTTAAAATGGTCATATTGCCCAAAGCAATTCATAGATTCAATGCTATTCCTAATAAACTACTGTCGAGATTCTTCACAGAACTAGAAAAAACTATTTTAAAATTCACATGGAACTAAAAAACAGCCTGAATAGCCAAGGCAACCCTAAGCAAAATCAACAAAGCTGGAGGCATCACAGTACCTGTCTTCAAACTATATTACAGGGCTACAGTAACCAAAACAGCATGGTACTGGTATGAGAACAGACACATAGACCAACGGTACCAAATAGAGAGCAAAGAAATAAGACTGCATGCCTACAACTATCTTATCTTTGACAAACCTGACAAAAACAAGCAATGGGGAAAGAATTCCCTATTCAATAAATGATGCTAGAATATCTGGCTAGCCACATGTGGGATATTAAAACTGGACCTCTTCCTTATACTGTATACAAAAATTAACACAAGATGGTTTAAAGACATAAATGTAAAACCTAAAACTATAAAAACACTGGAATACAACCTAAACAATACCATTCAGGACATAGGCACAGGCAAATATTTCATGATGAAGACACCAAAAGCAATTGCAACAAAAGCAAAAATTGACAAATGGGATCTAATTAAACCAGAGAGCTTCCACATAGCAAAAGAAACTATCAACAGAGTAAACAGACAACCTACAGAATAGGAGAAAATTTTTGCAAATTATGCATCTGACAAAGGTCTAATATCTAGCATCTATAAGGAACTTAAACAAATTTGCAAGAAAAACAACCCCATTAAAAAGTGGACAAAGGACATGAACAGACATTTCTCAAAAGATGGCATACATGCAGCCAACAATCATATTTTATTTTATTTTATTTTATTTTATTATTTTTTTTTTTTTTGAGACAGAGTCTCGCTCTGTCGCCCAGGCTGGAGTGCAGTGGCCAGATCTCAGCTCACTGCAAGCTCTGCCTCCCGGGTTTACGGCATTCTCCTGCCTCAGCCTCCCGAGTAGCTGGGACAACAGGCGCCCGCCACCTCGCCCGGCTAGTTTTTTGTATTTTTTAGTAGAGACGGGGTTTCACCATGTTAGCCAGGATGGTCTCGATCTCCTGACCTCATGATCCACCGGTCTCGGCCTCCCAAAGTGCTGGGATTACAGGCTTGAGCCACCGCGCCCGGCCAACAATCATATTTTAAAAAGCTCAACATCACTGATCATTAGAGAAATGCAAATCAAAACCACAATGAGATACCATCTCATACCAGTCAGAATGGCTGTTATTAAAAACTCAAAAAGTAACAGATGCTGGTGAGGTTGTGTAGAAAAAGGAACACTTGTATACTGTTGGTGAGGGTGTAAATTAGTTCAACCATTGTGGAAGACAGTGCAGTGACTCCTCAAAGACCTAAAGACAGAAGTACCATTACACTCAGCAATCCCATTACTGGGCATACACTCAAAGGAATATAAATCAGTCTATTATAAAGATACACCCATGCATATGCTCAGTGCTGCACTATTCACAATAGTAAAGACATGGAATCAACCTAAATGTCCATCAATGATAGACTGGATAAAGAAAATGTGGTACATATATACCATGGAATACTATGCAGCCATAAAGAACAAGGAGATCATGTCCTTTGCAGGGACATGGATGGAACTGCAAGCCATTATCCTTAGCAAACTAACACAGGAACAGAAAACCAAATACTGCATGTTTTCACTTATAAGTGGGAGCTAAATGATGAGAACACATGGACACAGAAAGGGGAACAACACACGCTGGGCCTTTCAGAGGGTGAAGGTTTGGAGGAGGGAGGGGATTAGGAAAAAAAACTAATATGTACTAGGCTTAATACCTACGTGATGAAATAATCTGTACAATAAACTCCCATGACACAAGTGTGTCTATATAACAAACCTGCACATGTACCCCTGAACTTAAAAGTTGAAGTCAGGCGTGGTGGCTCACACCTGTAATGCCAGCACTTTGGGAGGCTGAGGCAGGTGGATCATTTCAGGTCAGGAGTTCAAGGCCAGCCTGGCCAACATGGTGAAAGCCTATCTCTACTAAAAATAGAAAAACTAGCCAGGCGTGGCGGCAGGCGTCTGTAGTCCCAGCTATTTGGGAGGCTGAGACAGGAAAACAGCTTGAACCTGGGAAGCAGAGGTTGCAGTGAGCCAAGATTGCACCACTGCACTCCAGCCTGGGCAACAGAGCAAGACTCCGTCTCAAAAAAATAAAATAAAATAACAGTTGGAAAAAAAAATAAGAGTGAAGACAAAGAAGGAGAATAAACAAGTATTTCCTGTACACTGGCTGAAGCCATGTGGGTCACTGAGGATGCTCTCTGATGGTTCACTTTTTCTTTTTTAACCTCTGAAGACCCTGTTTCAAAATGATGCCACATTAAGCAACATTCCATTCTTAGAGGAGAAATAGTTGTCAAGTGTCAGGATGAAAAGTTTGAGAATGATTACATGAGTTATTAATGATAAGGAAGAGGAGGAGGAGGAGAAACTTTCACTGAGTCCTTCCTGGGGTATAGGCATGGTGCTTACTTTATCTCCTATCCCCCCTCAGCAGCCCAGCCCTCCAAGGCAGGCTGGATCCCTTATTCTCCTCCACTCTCTAGCAGTGGAAACTACAGCACCAGGAAACAAGGTACTTTCCTAAAAACATCCAGCTACTAAGGGCCAAAGCCTCTGATCTGAGGTTTCCTTATTTGTAAAATGGCAAAATAATACCCACCCTATACATATGCACCATGGAATAATACATGGTCCCAAAAAAGAATGAGATTGTATACTTTGCAGTGACATGGATGGAGCCAGAGGTCATTATCCTGAGTGAATTAATGCAGAAACAGGAAACTAAACAGCCTATGTTCTCACTTATAAGTGGGAGATAAACATTGAGTACACATGGACACAAAGAAGGGAACAGACACTGGGGCCTACTTGAGGGTGGAGGGTGGGACGAGGGTGAGGATCAAAAAATTACCAATTGAGTACTATGCTTATTACCTGGGTGATAATCTGTACGCTAACTCCCTGTGACATGCAATTTACCCATATGACAAACCTGCACATGTACCTCCTGAACCTAAAATAAAAGACGGAAAGAAAAAAAAATACCCACCCTAGAGACCTGTTTAGAAAGTTAAACAAATCAACAGAAAACAGCTAATGGCCAGAGGCACTCACGCAGCCATCAATGGGGCTGTTCCCTTGGCCTAGAGCCCTGTACCCTCACCAGAGTTCCCTGCTGGACGCCTAGTCATGCAATCCCACTGTGACATCCTCATTCCAGAGATTCATCAATACCATACAGACAGGAAGGGTGAGGATGGATGAGGTTACTCCAGTCGTCAAGTTGCAGAGGAAACAACAAGCAACATGATGCT